AGATAAAAAAAAAAAATGACTATATGAAAATTATCCGACATAGTAGGTGAACAGTCTCATCCCATGTAGTGAAAACCGGCGGTTCTACCGATCCGGTTACCGGCTCCTAGCTGGTAAACCGCGGTTTACCGCTAAAAATGATCCGGTTTTTACGACATGAAATATACATTGGTACTAGCATCAGAAGTTAATGAAAAATATTTTAAATTTAATAATATTTGCTAAGAAAGAAAAAGAAAAAAAAAATTTGATTAATTTGTTTCATTAAGAAAAATTGACTCACTTTATTATTTATCATTGTTTCATCTGAATAAATACGTGAAATTTTAACACATTATGTATGAAGATTTTTAAAACGACCATCAAGTAAATACAGACAATCATTAAAACTATCCATATTTATATTTAATTTTAATAAATTTGCAGAAACAATACTTGGTGGTGATGAAATTTCAAATGATATTTGTTGATGATCACCTAAATTTGCGGTAAAATTTAAATAATCTAATTTCGTAAACATTTCAAAAATTAATGTGAATATAACAGGTAATAAATTACTCAATAATCGTTGTGATTTATTATTAAACCTAATAATAAATGAAGTTATTTGCTTTGTATATATATTTAAAAATGAATTATTATCTAAATAAATAAAATAACAAAAAAAACTAAATATCGAACTTCTTACTCTGTAATAGAAAAAAGCCGCATTTTCATCAACATGATATAAACTAAGTTTATATAGATTAGGATAAGTTGTAGCAAGAAAGATAGGTTTCATAGAAAATAATTCAACATTAAGTGATTGAATCTTGTAATGAATTTCTGGTAAAATTTTTAAATAGAATAAATTCAATAATTCATTATATAATTTGACAAATAACATCATGTGACAAACATTTAAATAACGTCAAATTACTTGTGATAACTTCATCATATACAATACTATCCATTCTTCTATTTAAATCTCTTAAATTAAACACATCAATAGGATTTAAGTGTGTCAATATAATCAAAAGAATTTCATCCGGTAAATGAAAGAATTGATTAGGTGATAATGCCATGTTTACATTTAAATATGAATATTTGTATATTTATATTAATTAATAGACTGAATCTTTCAACAATCAATAATGCTATTCAATGAATTATTAACCAAACGATAAATCATCAAAGATAAAAACACCACTAAAGAGGAAGCCAAAACAAACTTTAGAAATGATTTGCTCAGTGATCATAAATGTCTGAAATATATTTTTTCCTTATGAATTTCTTTTTATTCATTAATTCTTAGTTAATTTTCTTATATATAAAGGACAGGGGCGCATAAGAAGCCAATTTGGCCCATAGGATATTTTCAGTCACTTTACTGCCCATCCTATTCAGAAAAAGGTGTTGATACTTTTGGTA